CAGGGGGAGAGGCAGAAGGAGAAGCAGGCTTCCCCACGGAGCAGGGGGCCCGATGCGGGACTCGATCCCAGGACCCCAGGATCATGACCTGAGCCGAAGGCAGACACTTAACCAACTGAGCCACACAGGCGCCCCAGGGTCTAGGGTTGTTAAAAAAACCCAAACAAACAACGGAGAGTCTTGAATGGCTGTGCCTGTGTAAAGCCACCACGAGCTGAGGGGACAGGAGAGAACATGGTCCATCCTGTGTGACTCTTAGCAGCTTCCTGATCCTCTCTGTACTTCAGTTTCCTTATCTGGAACCAGCAACGTCTCCTCACAAACAGTGGGATCCGAGAGGGCTCCCCCCACCCCACCCCAGTCATTGTAAAGTTCGGTGACATCTTATCAGCCAGTGACATCTTGCACCAGCTCACAAACTGGCTTGTATTGCGCTTTCAGGATTGAGAGTGTTTTGGGGTGCTGGGAAGGGCTGGAGAAGAGGCACGAGACGGCGTGCTCTTGTACACCCTCTGGTCACCGGCCATGCCCTCGGCAGCGTGAGTGTCGTCCGGCTGGGGCAGGATGGTGGGGTCTCCTTGGGGGAATAACTAGGCTGACTTTGTGCTCCCCATTCTTGGCTGGAATGTGTGAAGGAGGATGTGGAATGTCCATGTCTCCCACCCTTTGCCCTCTGGCAGGGAGCGCGGGCAAGCTGCAGGCCTTCCCCAGCACTGGGCTGGGGAGGAGGTGCTCTGGAAGGCTCCCAGAGTTGCAGGGAAACCAGAGGTCTCTACCCAGTGCTTAGCCTGCCTGGCGCTGGGCTCAAGGCACTGCACGCTGTGAGCTCTTCACCCCGGCTCCGTGAGGCGGTGATTGGTACCCGGGCGCACCTCTCTGCAGATGAGGCCCAGAGAAGCTGCTACCCTTCTCCAGGTCCCCCAGCTGATGGCGGGCGCTATCAGGATTCAACATGGAGGCATGAGCCCGGAGCCCCCTCTTGTGTCATCGCCTCCTGCTGGAGATGGCTGGCATTTCTCTGACGGCAACATGGTTTAGTTGTTAGGCACATTTGCGTGTCTGTCCATCCGTCTGTCTTAGGCCAGTGTGTTGGAGTGTTGTCCGTGGGCCCGAGCAGGGTGGTGTGGGGATACAGTCCCAGGAGTGCCTTGGGGGTGCTGCTGCCCCCCAGGACTTGGGCTGGAGTGGCCAGTGTGTGGTCCCCTCCATACCCCACCTTCCTCTGCCAGGGTTTGTGCAAGGCATGTAGGGGACAGATGGCAAAATCCTCAGCCGGAGGTGCCCAGGGACCCAGCCGGGGAGCTAGACACAGACCAGTTAAAGACCAGCTGCTCTGCTTAGGGGACCAGGTGAAGATGAACAGGAAGGTAGGGAGTGGCCGGCTGCTGTGGGGGTGGTATCTTTTAGGGCCCTGGCCAGGAACGCAGTCACCGTGAGATGGAATCACAGGGGAGAGTTGAACAGAGGGTCTACTTACAAGGGCGGAACAGTTGAAGGCTGGTCAAGTGTCTGGGCTAGCGGCAAGCGAGTGACAGTGGCTGTGGGGGTGGGCCACCTAGGAGGTGTGGCTTTGGCAGAGAAGGCAGCCTTCGGCAGCTAGTGGAGGTGGGAGTTGCATCAGCCCCACTGGGGGCCAGAGGGCAAGGGGTCTTGGGAGGCACAGGGGCTCTGCCGGCACTCACTTGTTAGGACCCAGGGCTCTGGGTTTAAGCCGCAATCCAAAAGCCTGGGGGCTGGACTTGAATCCTTGTTTTGGCTTCATTTTCTGGTTCCTTTGAGTGGGGAATTCCAGATCCAGAGTCACAGGATTTCCTGTTGATTTCTCACTTCTCCAAGACCAGCAAGGTCTTGTGCACAGCCGGGAGTTGGAACTTCCTTCCACCACCTTGGGTGTGTGTTGTGGGAGGACAAGGCCACTAGACTCACAGGGCTCTCCAGTGGGAAAGCATGCCTGTGTTGACGGGTGAGCCCAGCCCTCCGTGGCGGCTTAGGCAGTAGCTCGTCAGCCGCGTCTGACCCACCTTGTGGAGGGTGTTGGGGAGGGCGCAGGGTGTGTGTTGGGCGGGGGTGGCTGCTTCGTGCAGACCCTCCCTTGCATCTTGGGCTCTGCCTGACTCTTCCTGCCACCTTCCTACTTCCTTGCACCGGTGGCCAGTACATGGACAGAGAAGGTGGCTTTGGTCCCCAAAACTCAGCCTGAGGGCAGGCTGAGACATGCAGCAGTGCCTGGCAAGGCTTCTGAAGAGCCCTCTGGCCCTGCCCCTCCCTGCCACATGGTTTCCCAGGCTGAACAGAGAGGGCGTCCTGCCTGGGGCCCCCAGCCCAGCTTCAGCCAGTGTGTGCGCCAGCAGCCCTGTTAGACCCACTGTCCCTAGCCCACACCCGGACCCCGGGCCGGCAGAGCCCTCTCCCACCTCCTGCGCTCATCCTGCTTAGGACGGACACTTGAGCACCCCAGCCAGAGCTTCACTCACTCGAGAACTCCTCTCAATGCTGGGGCAGCCAGGGAGGGATGGGATTCATACCCCAGCAGGCAGGACAGGCTGGAAAGACATTCTCAGGAGCAGGCAGCTTGTGTCCAGTCACTCTATGCGCCTACCTGACGTTGCCAGCTGGTTGCATCTGTCCTTGCTGAGCTTGACTGTCCTGCTTTGCCCAGATATCCAGGCAGCCACCACCCATTTGTCGGGGGTGACACTTGAGACTCTTTGCTACCCGTATAACAAAAGGCATTGGGCATCAGCGTGTTGGAAGGTCATAGAGGCTGCCAGTCCAACGACACAGCTCTTCCGGGCCATGCCTCGGGGCCCCTCAGCATGCGTCTGGCGCAGTGTGGGCATTTCCCCTTGTGGTTCAGTTTGGACTCTACTCCTCCCAAAAGGAAGCCTGCCACTTACCCCAGGGACGGCGTTGCCCACCCTGGATGAGGAGGTTTGCTCCCAGCCTGCTCCTATCCCAAAGAGTCACACTCTCACCTTCTCCGTGGTAGGGTGGTTATATGTTTCTTTGGGGGCAGGTGATTTGCAACTAACTCCTGGTGCAGAGGAAAGAGCCATTGCAGTCCGACCAGTCTGGGTTCAAATCTGGACTCTGTCATCTGCTGTGTGAGCTTGGGCAAGTTGCCTAACCTCTCTGAGCCTTAGTTCTCTCATCTGGAGGGGAGGGTTGCCTCAGGGATTAAACGAGTGGATTACAGAGCTACTGATTTGTGCCTGGGTGAATTCTATACCTGAGAGACTCTGGTTCCCTGAGACGAGGCGATAGGAGGCACGAGAGGGAGCTGAGGTGGCCACAGACACCCCAACACATGGGCCAGCATGATGAAGACTGAGCAGCCTGGGAACCAAGCAGAGACGTTGGCAACTACTGCACCATCCTTCGTGGGGGCTTACTCTGGGCCAGGCATGAGCTGAGTGCTGACACGTGTCCCTCATCTAAAGGGCCTCTCACCCATCTTATGGTCTTTCCATGGCTGGGAGTCTAGACCCAGAGAGTGAGGTAGAGCCCAGGCCACCGTGAGAGTGCCGGTCTTGAGCCCTCGCTGCTCTGACCGGTGTGTGCCTGGCTATGGCCCAGCCGCGTCTGATGCTCCATGGAAGTGCCTGGGGGCTGCAGGGCATGGCGGAAAGATGGGGGCTTTAGAGTCTGGAGGGGTGCTGTTCTCTAATCCAGGCTTTGCCTCCACCCACTGTGGCCCTCGGGAAGGACACTAACTCTCTGCAGGCCTTGGCTTGTCCATCTGTAAAATGGGGATGCTGTGTTGGCCTAGTAGGGTTGTCGTCTGGGAATACATACTGTAGCCCCTGGTGTGCGCTGGCACTTAGGATGCCCGTGGCGCACAGAAGCTTTGGCGGATTTGCAGGGTAGATGTGCAGGCTGAGCCGAGCTGGTGCCAGGCAGCTTGGCCCCGACTGCGTGTTGCTGAGTCCCCACAGCGCCAAGACTGTCATCAGGGCGAGAACAGAGATTTTCCTTACGCTGGAGGACATTTTAGCTTTTTAAGGAGGGAGGCGTGCCCCTCGAGTGCAGCCCTCCAGGCTTGCTTGTCTTTGCCCCTCCGCAGTCCTGACCTTCTCGTTCCTTCTCCCCGCAGCAACATGTCCAGCGCCTTGGCCAACGCGGTATGCCAGCGCTGCCAGGCGCGCTTCGCCCCTGCCGAGCGGATCGTCAACAGCAACGGAGAGCTGTACCACGAGCACTGCTTCGTGTGTGCCCAGTGCTTCCGGCCCTTCCCCGAGGGGCTCTTCTACGAGGTGAGGACCCAGGACCCCCGGCCGGACTGCCGTATTGGAGCCCGAATCCCCCACCAGCTCAGAGCCTGCGTTCTAAGAGCCTGTGGGCTGTGCCCAGCCATGGTCCTGACTGGTGACTGATGGGCAGTCGTGCCAGGTCTTAGGCTTGCTGCACTTTGGGGGCACATCCTCACGTATGAGGTGTGAACAGGGCCCCCCTGGTGGCTGTGGGTGCTGAAGGAGAGTCACCATTCATCCAGCCTCCTCTGGGTAGACTCTGGGAGGCCACGGGATGCAAACACCCTGCCCTGGTGGCACATACCCTCCTTTGGGATCAGACAGTGAACAGAATAAATATATAGTATATCAGATGGTGCTCAGTGCTCTGGGTATAGAGGCTCTCGGGGTGAGGAGGGTGGGTGGTCAGGGAAGGTGATGTTTGAGCAGACCTGAAGGAGGTGAGGGAGCCATGCACACATCTGCAGGAAGAGCACTCAGTAGAGAGAACAGTCAAGTGCAAAGGCCCTGAGGTCAGAGCATGCAGGGAATTTGAGGTGCAGCAGGAGGCAGTCTGTCTGACATCTGAAAAGGACCGTTCTCCTTGCTGTGCTGGGGAGAGACTAATGTGGGCAGGCACAGAAGCTGGAGAACAGGTGGGGCCAGAAGCTGGATTACTGAAAAAATCCAGATCAAGTGAAGTGGTCTAGATCGGGCCATAGTGGCTCATAAGAGCAGATTGTTTAAATTTTTAATAAACTTGCCAGCTCGTGGGTAAACATAACTCTTAGTAAAAATTAAGTTATATAAATGTACAGGGAGATAAAATTTTATTGAAAACAAGGGTAACACATACTCAAAACTCACCACTTCCTAATTATTTTATTATGTTTTCCTATCATCTATGCCTTCGAAGTTATTTGTCTATTATACCTGGGTGGTGGAAACCATACCCTGATGGCTGCCGCACATAGCTGAACTCCATGCTGCTGTCCTGTTGGGAGCTTGACATTGTCCATGGCAGGAATAGTCACACCTTAGAAACTGTTAAATGCTACAGATCGGACCCCGCCTTCCAAAGGGCTGGTTGGTCGTCATTTACCAGCGCACCAGTGGGGGGTGCAGTGGAAGTGGTGACCGGGGCTCAGAGGCTGGAGAGACTTGGAAGGTACAGCTGATGGGATCGACAGATGGGTGGCCGTGCCGGTGTGTGAGCTCCTCCTAGCCGTCTGGGGGAAATGCTGGCGCACTGTAGAGGCACGGGGAGGGGAGGCCAAGCTCTGTTTGCAGTGGCCATGTGCCTAGAACAAAGCCTGGAGCATAGTAGGTGCTCAGGAAATAGTCGTTGCTGAATGAATTTCACGCCCTGCCACCTCTACGGGCCACTGGGTAGGGCTGTATTCAGTTGTAGCCCAATAAGACGCTCATTTCAGAGAAGAGGGCAAACCGACCTTTTTGATAAGAAAAGAAAATTGTCAAGGGAGAAGAAAGCAGGGACAGGGTTTGGCCACACTTGGGGCTAGTGCAAGGGCCATCATGCCCAGGTACATGGGGACGATGGCTGGTGCCCGGAGTGGCTCCTGCTGGCTGCAGGGCTTGGGGTTCTCCCTCAGGGCCCCATGTTTTTCCTGTGTCCCTCTTTCTGTCTTCCCTCTCCAGGTCTCTGGTGGCCTCTGGGGGAAATGCCTTCTCACACAGAGAAGACACACAGGAAATAGGGCCAAGTGACATTTATAAATCACACTTGATCCCAGCCCTCGGCTTGCTCCCAGCACCAGCAGGGCCAAGATCTTGTGCAAATAGCCTCGGCTTTTGGAAGGCTGGCCTTGCCCAGTTCCCAGCTTCTCGGAGACCCCTCACTTTGCACACCCGCCTGTGGAAAGGGCCAATTCCGGCTGGTTCCCTCCCATCTCCAGACCTTGCCCCTGCTGCTCTGGGATGCCTTCCTCTCAGCACCTCCACCCCTGCAGTCTTCTAGCTCCTTACCACCTCCTCCAGAAGCCTTCTCTGGAAGGAGGGTTAGGTGCTGCACCCCGCTTCCTGCTGGTAGCAGTTGCATAAATTGGGGTGCTTCTCTAGCCTCCCCGAGGGCGGGTCCTGATCCATCAAAGACTGGCCAGCTGGGGGCAATAATGGGCGTTTGCTTGAATTTTCTCTGCTGGCCCATTTGCAGTTCGAAGGCCGGAAGTACTGCGAACATGACTTCCAAATGCTGTTTGCTCCGTGTTGTGGATCCTGCGGTAAGGGCTGGATGCAGCACACTCCTCTGCACGCCTGGGGGGTTGGGCAGGTGGGTGGGAGCACAGGTGCTCTTCCCTGACCCCCTCTCTGAGCACCAGCTCTCTGCAGGCATCACCTCCCCAAGCTCTGGGAGGGGAGCCCCGGGACCAGGCTGAGCTCAGGCGAGTGCCAGTGAGTGCAGGGCTTTGGAGGGGGCTGGGAGGGGGCTGGGAGGGGAGCGCACGCCTGCCTTAGTGAGCAGGGACCAATGTCTTCCAGGTGAGTTCATCATCGGCCGCGTCATCAAGGCTATGAACAACAACTGGCACCCGGGGTGCTTCCGCTGTGAGCTGTGTGACGTGGAGCTGGCTGACCTGGGCTTCGTGAAGAACGCAGGCAGGTGAGGTGGGCCGGGGCTGGGTGGGAGGAGGGCCCTCACCCGGGCACTGCCTAGTGAGCACCGGGCCCTGTGGCCTGTGCCCACTGGCAAGGCCGCTAAGAGACCCCTGGTTTACAGGTGAGGGCTGGGGCCAGAGAGAGTAGGGCCTGCCCCGGGCCTGGGGATGCTCCCAGGAGCAGGCTGACAGTAGGCAGCGAGGATGAAGGTGGCCGGAGCAGGGACCATCAGATGCAGTGGATGGACAAAGAGCTTTGGGTCATCACTACTGCCTGGGCACCCCTCGCCGCTGAGCCCAACCACCTACCTCCTTCCATGTACCCCTGGCTAAATGCTGCTAGAGAGAGATCACTCAGCCAGGGGGGCCCAAATTGACTCTGACACGCAGGGCACCCCGGCTAGGGTTCCTTGGTAGACTAAGTCCCCGCCTTCCAGGAAGACGGGCTCGTTTCTCCCTGCATGGCCTCTCTGCCCGCCACCCTCCCAAAGCCAGGACGTCCCCTCCCACTTCCCTGAGGGGAAGGCTGTCCTGCTCCCTGCCCTGGTGCCTCCCCCGCTCAGTCCCCATGCACCAGCACCACGGAGGCCCTGTCCCTGCTCCTCCCGAGGTCCCGCTCCTTCCCACCCTCCTCTCTAGCGGGGCTCCCAGCTGCAGTCTGTGCTCTTTCTCCCAGAGCTGTCCTCCCACCGCGGTTGTCTGCAGCCTGTCCCAGCGGCCTCGCTGGCTCCTCTCATGTGCCCCCAACTGCCAGTCTGCTCGGCCCCCACGACCTCCCTCTGCTTGCCAGACCCATGGGTCACTGCTGGTCCTCTCTTGGCCTCTCGGCAGGCTTCCCAGCAGCTTTTCCTTCTTGCTGAAATGCCTGCTCTCCAGGCGCCCAGGACCCTGTGTTCTGGTTTCCTCCGCCTCCTGCCTGTGCTGTGTCCTCTCCCCTTCTGACTTACCTCTCTCCACCTGTCTCTCCATGTTGGCTCGTTGGGAGCTCGGCACGTGGGCCTCATCTCTGTCCAAAGTCCCAGAGCTCTGATTGCCATGCATGTGCTGGACGATTCAGATGTACACCTCCACCCCAGACCTTTCCCTCGGGTTCTCAGCCTCGTGGTGTCCACTGGGCATCCCAAATACAATAGGCCCCAACCAAACTCTGGTTTCTCCTTGGCTGACCAGCAGGTCTCCCCGTGCCAGACGATCGCCGCCCACCCTAGGTGTCTTGACTCCCCCGCCCTCTCCGACCTTGTCGCTTCTTTGTTCTCTGCCACCGCACCCCTTGCTCTGGATGCTGCCTGTAGGGATCGCACCCATTTGCCTGCTCCATGTTGCCTGGTGTCGGTCTTGGTGTCTGTAGGCCCCTGGGCAGGAGCCCGTGTTGTTGTCTACATGAGGGGCTGTGGAGGGCAGATGGTGTCACAGGGGCCCCATGCTGATCGGGGGTGGCCCGCCGGGCGTGGGCCTGAGCGAGGCCTCTCTCCTCCTGAGCTATGCTCACACTGAGCCCCCACCCCTGGGAGGTGGGAAGCGCTCAAGGAAGGAAAGGGCTGCTGTGAAGGAAGTGTGGCCCCTGCTCAGACCCTCCTGGCCCAGGGCCAGCCCTCTGAGGCCCGTGATGCAGAACTTGAGCGTCCACGTGGGGCAGGCCTGAGCGGGGCTGTCAGAACCAGAGGCAAAAGCATGTGCTGCCTGGCCTAGCCTGTCTTCACATCCTCTTTGTCACTCTTGGGTGGAAGCGAAGATAAGTTCTGGGAAGGGAGTAATGTCAGCCGAACACAATAACCTTCAGAATCTTCAAGTACAGTTATGTTTATGATCAGTGTGATCAGGTACAAAAAGGAACCTGCTAGCGTGGCAGGTTGGCCCTCCACAGCTGGGAGAGCCTCTTGGGAGGGGGCAGGGCTAAGGACACCCCTGCTGGTCTGGGTTAGTGTGAGACAGGGTCCCATGCCAGGTGTGGGCTCCCTGCTGGAGATGTCCTGAGGCAGGGACAGAGCCCGGCTCCCCCCATCTGCCCACCCATGCCGTATGCTTGACCGACTCAAGAGGGATCAGGCAGCTGCCGAGAAGCTGTGGGGATTGTCGGGCCACATGCAGGGATCAAGGACCCAGCATTGAGATGATGAGCCCACAGGCCGCATTTGTTGGATGTCACCTGGCGGCCAGCCCGAAATGTACTTACAACACTCAATTATAAGTTACAGTCCACGTCCCCTAAACTCAGGGGTCATCTGGCAAAAGTGCCACCCAGGGAACTCAAACCCCGTCCCCCTCCACCTGGATTCCCGCACCCCCCCCTTCTCTTGAGTCATTCATCGCTGCCTTCGGGGCTCTTTCTGCAGAGCCCTTGCTGCCTTGTGATTCTTGTGGTGGGAAGGTGGTTGGAAGTCTAGCAAGCAGCCCTTGGGAAAGAAAGACACTCATTGTTCAGGAACGTTCCTCTGGCCTCCTTGCCCCCCCTTGCCATGGGGTGAAGTCATTGAGTATCTAGTAACTGCAAGTGAGCAGGGCCAGCACAGTCTCTGCAGAGGGGGTGGCCGATTGGTCCCGTCAAGGGGTGTCCTTTTTTAGGGATTTGTGCGTCAGATAAGACAGAACCGGGTGCTGGGTGCTGAGTTCCGCCCTTGGAGAGAGTGGCAGTGGCTTGCTGGGAGAAGGTGGACTTCTCCTTCACGAGTCTGGGTGGCATGCACCCTGGCGGGGGGGGTGTCTTTCTGAAGACAGTGTATGGCGGTGGGCCCCAGGTATGGCATCCCAGGGCTCACAGCTCTGACCTGGCACTCAGTGAGCTCTCATTGGTTTTCCCTTCAAAGCTGGGGGGCGGGCCTGAGAGCCTTTTGCCACAGATCAGGTTGCACAGGGCATCGCGGAACTTCTCGGCCACAAAGAAGTACATGACTGGGTCCAGCGCCCCGTTGAGGCTGGTGAGGCAGGAGGTGACGCGGTTTCCCAGGGCCAGGATGCGCTGGGCGGCGCACGAGGTGCCGTTGCCATGGTAGTGCAGCACGTAGACGGAGCGGTGGACGTGGTAGGGCACGAAGCAGACCAGGAAGATGGTGAGCACCATGGCGATCATGCGGACCGCCTTGTTCTTGAGGCGCTTCTCCACGCGGGGGCCCTGCCGCAGGCTGCGGATGATCAACAGGTAGCAGGTGACGGTGGTGACAAAAGGGAAGGTGAAGGCCACAGCCAGGGACACGAGGGCGTGGTGGGAGGCCTTCTCCCGGTACAGCTGCAGGCAGATGACGGTGTGGTTGGTCTGCACGGTCTGCGGGCTCACCAGCAGCGGGGCCATGGCCACGGCCACCACCACCCAGAGGAAGGCGCAGGCCAGGTGTGCGTAGAGGGGCCTGCGGAGCTTGAGGGACTTGACGGGGTGCACGATGGCCAGGAAGCGGTCAGCGCTGATGCAAGTGAGGAAGTAGATGCTGGCGTACATGTTGAGGTAGAAGAGGAAGCCGGTGAGTCGGCACGGGATTTCCCCAAACGGCCAGTGGTTCCCAGAGAAGTGGTAGACGAGGCGGGTGGGCAGGACCAGCACACAGGACAAGTCGGCCACAGCCAGGTGCATCAAGAATACGTTGGCAGGGGTGCCTGACTTATGGTCCCGGATGAAAAGCCACAGGGCCAGGGCATTGCCAACAAAAGCCAGGATGAAATCCAGGAGGTAGAAGGAGGCGAAGAGGGCGTTCTCCAGTGGCGTCTCCTGGCCACATTGCTCTGCGGTGGCCAGGGAGGAGTTGGCGGTCAGACCTGGGGAAGCCACCTCCAGGCCATTCATGCTTCAGCCGGAAGCAGAGCCGGGGGATGAGCCTGGAGGGAACAAGCAGACAGGTTCCAGAGCCTGGGACCTGTGAAACGTTTTAGCTCGGCATCGCCTTGGGGGCTACTGAGGGCACCCCCTGTGTTCATCTGGGGGAGGGTATGTGTCAGAGGCTTTCTGAAGCTCAGCAAAAAGCAAAAATGAAGCCAGAGCCTGGAGCTTGCCAGTCTGCTGCTGGGGCCAGCTTCCCACTGGCTCCTGCATCCCCGGCTGGGCACACAGGAGCCCGGGCCCTGGGCTGCACGTTGTCCCCAAAGTCCACTCAGACCGCGGGGAGAGTGGGGGGTGGATCCCATCTGTCTGGGCTCTGGGATGGAGTGACGGGCCCCGTGTTTTCTGCCGTGCTCCCCAGGTGTGCTTTCTAAATGGCAGGGGGTGGTTCGAGGGGCCCTTGAACTCCACTCCCAGTGGGTGGGTGGGTGGGTAGATCACCCCTTTCTTTCTTCCTTCCTCTCTCCCTCCCTCCCTTTTTCTTCCTTCCTCCCTTTTTCTTCCTTCTTTCCTTCCTTCCTTCCTTCCTTTCTTTCTCCTTCTCTCTCTTTTTCTCTTTCTTATTGATTTATTTATTTGAGAGAGAGAGGAGAGAGCCCAAGTGGGGGGAGGGGCAGAGGGAGAGAGAGTCCTCAAGCAGACTCCCTGCTGAGCACGGAGCCCAGTGTGGGGCTCGATCCCAGGACCCTGAGATCATGACCTGAGCCGAAATCAAAAGAGTTGGACGCCTAACTGACTGAGCCACCCAGACGCCCCTAGATCACCTATTCCTGAGAGCTTGGTGCGCAGAGCCTCGCCCTTGCAGGGTGAACCCTGCTCACCCGGAGTCCTGACACCCTTTGTGGCCCGTCCCTCCCAGGCCTTGTGGCACTTCCCACCAACTGCAGTGCCAAGTGTGTCGCTGCTTTATGCCTCTCTCCTGCCAGCCCCTGCCACCCAGGAGGGCCTCACCAGCTATATAGTGGTGGGCAGTTTCCTGGGAGCTCAGAGGATCCCAACATCTCTCAAGCTTTCTGGACTCAGCCTACCAACTCCATTCTGGCCATCCTAACGTGTGGAGAGCTGTATTTTAGAAAGCCCTGCACTTGGGCCCCAGGCCAGTAGGGGGGATTTTACCACCCGGAGTGGTTTAACAACCAGGAGGCAGATTCTTTTCTAGGAGAGGAAGAGCTATTTTTCCCAGAGGTAGTGAGACTGGCTATGGTTTTCCCGCCGAGTCCGGCAGCCCCAGAGACACCTGGGGCCCAGGGAAGCCGCCTGTGTCTGCCTGGCCTCCCTAGCCTGGTTTACCCACACCCGAGGGACCATTTGTAGCTGCGAACCCCGGCTCTGGGTGGGTGTTCCCTGCTCCCTCCCTGACAGAGGAGCAGACTCCTGTGTTGATTTTGGTCAGCTCAAGAGATCCAAAAAGGAGAGCGAAGCTCCCAAATACCCTGCCTCCCTCACCAGCGCTGGGAGTGGGAGGTGAGGGCAGAAGAGGGCCGGGCGTCAGGGCCAGCGCAGCCTCCACCCTGACCCCACGCATCCTGCATCCCTGAGCTGCCGCCAGCCCCTTATTCTCATGCCGGGCAGACCCTCACACACACAGGCTGTGGTGGTGGCATGGTCAGGGCTGATGTCCTGGCTGAGCCTGGCTCTGTACTGAGCAGTCGGGGAGATGGAACGTGTTCTCTGCAAGCGTGTCCTGGCCTCGCTTCCCCCAGGAAGCATGGTGGCAGTTCTGATAGCACAGCAGCCCCTCGAGGAGGAGGAGGAGGAGGAGGAGGCTGGGGGCCATTCCCAGGCGTGGATGAAGAACAGAGGCATGCGGGGAGGGCCCGGCACACACTCCTCTAGAAGACAGAGCAGGGCAGGTGGTCCAGATCGTGGGTATGCTGGGCTGTCAGGCTGGGCAGCAGCTTCACCCTCCCCATCAGGCTTCATCAACCACCACTGGGGTCCTGTAGGCACCCCCCGCCCCCGGCAGCACACACCTGGAAGGGTGAGGGCTGGCTGCCTGAGCAGGACAGAGCCAGGGGCAGTGCGGGTGCGTGGCAGAGGGCATCTGGCCAGTCACCATCCTCAAGTAAAGGGGGTTACTTTCCCAATAAGGTCACATTTTAGTGACCTCCAGGGAAGTTCCCTTGCCTCAATGATCTCCCCTGCTCCAGAGCGGGTTAGGAAGCCTGAGATCCGATACAGAGGTTATTTTCCTACTGTTTCCAGGTGCATGTGACTCGAGGGGTTGTGCCAGGGCAGCCCTGGCTGCTGGGAGAGGGGATGGGGCCAAGGGAGGGAAGGGTGGTGTGGAAGCCGGGGCTGGGATCCCCCTGCTCTGGGCTGCCCCTCACGCCTGGACTCTGCCCCTCAGTGCAGTTGTCACCCGGCCCCTCCCTGAGGGCTGCTCGCGGGTACTGGATTAGGGATTAAGAAGTCAGGGCTTAAAATCGGCTAACTTGCCTAAGGTCATTTGGCCAGGGACAGTGGCCCTAGATTTGGAAGTCAGCTCAGGGACACCTAGCAGGGACATCCAGCACCTCCCAGAACACTGCCTTGCCTCTGGGGGCTGCTGGGGGCCGGGTGCCAGAGCTGGGAGTGTGGCTCGGCCTCAGGGCTCGGGCTGGAATTGCGTCTCAGGCTCAGTGGCACCTCCTTGGGGTCTGCCCCAGGACCGGTGATGTAATTTTTGGCACCCGGTGCAAAATGAAAATGTGGGCCCCCTTGTCCAAAAAGTAGGAGTTTCAAGATGGTGACCGCAGAGCATTAAATCGATTGTGGGGCCTGCCTGGCTGCCCGGTTGGCGGTTGGGCCAGCAGCTGGCTGACTGCCTCCCGCACAGCTGCCCCCCGTGTCCCACCACCGCTGAAAGCCTCATGCACAGTGCTCTCTCTGGGATCTAGACTCAATTTTGAAATGCTTCTAGGTTTGTTTCTGGTTTGTTGAGGTTTCTTTACTCCTCCGATTGTAGGAGTTTTGATACTGACTTTTGCCCCGAAATGGGTCCCTGCTTCACTATGCGTACCCTAGACATGCAAGCCTCAGCCTGCCCTCGCTGGCTTGTCCATGGTGCTGCTCAGAGCAGCGCGGCATGCGCACATGGAGGGCGCCTGGGCAGGGACATCGGCGGGTCTGGGGCTGTGGGTCAGGCAAGCATCAGGGGGCAGGTCTTGGGCCTCGGGGAGGGGGAGGAGTGGGCCACAGGAAGAGGCCCAAGGTGGCAAGGCTGTGGTGGGTGGGCATGGCAGTTCCCTCGCATGGGCTGACACCTCTTCTCCCCTGCTCCTTCTTCTGGCTCCGGGTGGCCTAGTGATGGAGAGCATGGGTGCTGATTCCAGCTGACTGTCATTGCAGCCACGGGACTGTGCGTGGGGCACTCACCCTCCGTAAGCCCCCGACCCTGGGACAGGAATACCACCTGGTGGGCCCGCTGTCATTCAGACCAGGGCAGCCTTCGATAAATAGGTTGTACCACTATCCCAGAGAGTGTCTCCGGGACAGGAACACCCCATCCCTGCCCGCGCTCTGAGTTTGCCTCTGCTTGGCTCCTGAACCCCCTGCCTGCCCTGACCGGGCTCTGGTCCTTACCTCTCACAGCCGGGTCCAGGTGCGAGGGCAGGAGGGCTGCGGGGTGGCAGGTGGGCTGTGGCCAGTGGGTGGTGGCGCTGCTGGTGGGCTCCGTGCAGCTGTGGTCGAAGGGCTGGCTATTTAAGGAGAGGAGGGGAGACCGCAGCCCCTCTGGCCCTGAAAGGCCGCTTCATTCCGAGAGGTTCCTTGTGCAGTGGGCCACTCCTACGGCTGCCTCTGCTGCCACTGCGTCGTGAATATTCCAGTGTGTCCCAGCCCGCATGCCCCCCCCCGGCCCCCCCAGCTTGGCCACTGAGCGTCACAGAGGCCGAGTGTGTGACTATGTTGGAAGCCGTGGAGTGGGCGCGGGCTGGGCGGGGTGGGGGGACTGGCCGGGACTGACAGAGACAAGAGGACGTTTCAGCACAGGGTAATTTCCTACCAATGGGGGGCAGGGAGGGGCTGGCCGCCATGGCAACGGGCCTGGGCTCCCAAGCCTGCTTGGGGACTGTAGAGGGGGTCTTGTGAATGGGGAGGCTGGGAGGCTGAGGAGCCTTGTTTGGTCGAATGAGAGGGGACTCTTTCAGGACACTTGCTGTAGGGTCCTTGTGTCTTGCCCCGTATAATGAGGCTCCGTTCGGGCGTGCGGAATAAATCGTGGCCTTTCTCTTGAGCGGGGCACAGCTGCAGGCCGCCTCATAATGGGGCGCTGTCTGTGCCTGTGGGGACGCCGCTCAGCCCGCGAGGCCTGGCCCTTACCTGGGCGGGCTCCTCCCCTGGACAGGAGGCCTGTGAAGACGGCCACTGCTGCCCACTGCCTAGGAGTCCCCAAGACTCCTCCTGGGGGTGGCTCGAGGCTGGGGGGGTTGGGATGTGGATGGTGGACGGTGGCTGCTCCTGAGACCGAGCAAGCAAAGCTCATTTCCCCCCATCTTTCCCCAAAGGATATATCCGGTAGCACAGGGAACCAAATCACCACGCCCAATCTCAAAAGACCTTTGCAGTTTTTAGTTAAAACATTAAAAAAATGTACATAGCTATCATTGGGAAGTAACTACCATGTATACTATCTTAAATCTGTTTTTCACACAGTCCTGTGCAGTTGAGAGTATTGCCCATTCTACAGATGAGGAAACAGGCTCAGAGAGGTGAAGTAACTTGCCAGGAAGTGGCAGAGTCAGGATTTGAACCCAAGCGCGTGTCACTCCAAAACTTACGATTTGTGTGTGTTAATGTTCTGGTTTGTTCTGGTTTTCTGTTGCACCTTGATGTCGGAATTCTTAGGTACCATCTTCATTCTACCTAGAAAAGAATTCTGCAGATTGCCGTTAGATCTGGTGCTGGGATCTGGTCTGTTGAAAAGACGTTTTCCCGTGTGCCTGGGGGGCTCAGTCAGTTAAGTGTCTGCCTTTGGCTCAGGTCATGGTCTCAGGGTCCTGGGATCGAATCTCGCGTCAGGCTCCCTGCTCAGTGGGAAGTCTGCTCCCCTGCCCCCACAAATAAATAAATAGAATCTTAAAAAGAAAAGACGTTTCCCATCTGGGATTCCTCGTGGGGCACTGGGCTCCTCACTTTGGTCTTGGCTGGGAGCCAGTGGGGTTCGCAGGTGAGTGACCAGGGCCCAGCCCCTCCCCTGTGCTGCCCCGTGTGGAGGTCCGGAAGGACCGGCTCACACGGATTTGATATGAGGGTGTCCGACTGGCTACTTCTATTGTTGGGTGATTGCAAATGGTAGCTGTGAGGGCATCGATCATTGCAGCAGAATTCTGGGGAGTTGTGCTAATTTCTATAGCTTTGAAATGAAAGTTATTCCATATGGCTTGAGTGTTGTTGTAATGCTAAGAGTAGTCACCAAAATCGGGAGTGGGGTCATAGGGAATAAATGCCGTGTCTGTGACAGAGACACAAGCAGGTGGCAGGTGTGGTGTGGACAGGGTGAGCCACAGTGATCTGGCAGCTGTGGGAGCAGCTCTGCTTGGGCCTGCTGTGGCAGGGGGTCTGGGTGTCTGGGTGAGCGGGTGGGGATAGGGATCTGGGGACCGATGGGGCAAAGCCTTAGTCAGGGAGACGAAGACTGCAGCGACAGGCCACGTCTGTGTCCCGTGGGTAGGTGGAGTCAGGTGGCCCCGGTGAGGGGACGGGCTCCCAGTCCTGGCTGTACTATCATGGGAGATGGTACCCACTGTCTCTCACCCTCCTCTCTTCTACAATCATTCATTCACTCACCTACCAGAGACTCAGCCTGAGCTGCTACCCTGTGTGGGACACAGCCTGGAGCCAGTCAGCAGCTTAACATGGTTACCAGGCACTCATTTGGGTCCCTGGGCCTTCCCACCCGCTGGGGAGAGAAGACACAAATAAAGCAAGCAGACAGCAGTGTTAAGCTGCAGGGAGTCCAGACCCCGGTGAGGTGGCAGACCTTGTGGTCGCCACCATGGGCAGTGGGCTGGCCTCCCTGGCATCTAGGATCTGCCCATCACGCCTGGTTGGAGGATCCTGAGTCTGACAGTTAATCTCTTAACTAGATTCCTTGATCAGCCTATAAAAGAGGCTGACTGTGGGTATCAGGTCCCTGTAGAGAGGCTCCCTGTGGATGGGCGGCTGGGAAGGCAGGAAGGGAGGGCCCGGATGCAACAGGATAGCTTACAGACTGGGGTGGCAGGTGGGGGATGGGAGTAATGGATTGGGGCCTTTGTACATCTTCGCTTGGGGACCCTGAATCTAAATTCCTGACACCTTTGAGGCACAGAAACAGAAACCATGTTGATTTCTCTCTCAGTAGAGACCACAGCTGTTGCCCAATGCAGGGAGTAGCATCAGAAATTACTCTGAGGTCTTTACAAAAAAGACTCTGTAATGATAGTTCCTGGGTTTGGGGGCCTCCATCTGACACAGCTGTGCTTGTCTTTGGAGACAGAAAGCCTGTAGATGTACGGGTCTCTCTTTGTGTGACAGACCCCGAAGGAAGGGGGTGTGCAGGCCAGACAGACCTGGGCCTCCTTGGCTGCTCTGCTGGGCACAGCGGGGTTTTCGAGCTAACAGTCACTATTCAGTTACGCACCCATGTTCAGAGACATTTGAAAAATAAAATTAATTTTTCAGCAAATGGCAGTGAAATGTCTACTCTATTCCATATGATGTCCTAGGCTCAGAAAAAGTGGGGAGAAGAAAACTATCACGTTTCCTCTGCCATCCAAAGACGGCAAACACCAACATTCTGGTGTATTTCTTCCTAGTCATTCTCCAGTACAGGAGTCCCCTTTTGAGAGGGCACGTCTGTAGCCTTCCTGGCCACGGGATTATTTAGCTAGCTTTTCTGGACCACTCGCTGGGCCTCTGGAGGCTTATGGGCATTGTTAAAGCTGCAGGCAGGAGTCCAGGGGGTCTCTTCTCCCAGGAGGCGGACCGTGCTGTCTGGGGAGGGAGAGAGGGAGCGGGCCGTTGGCCCCTAACACCTGCCTCACTTCCCACAGGCACCTGTGCCGGCCTTGCCACAACCGGGAGAAGGCCAAGGGCCTGGGCAAGTATGTCTGCCAGCGGTGCCATCTGGTCATTGATGAGCAGCCCCTTATGTTCAAGAATGACGCCTACCACCCGGACCACTTCAGTTGCACCCACTGCGGGTACGTGCACGGCTGGGTCCCTGTGCTGGGGGCAGGTGGAGAGCCGGGTGGGACCCCCACCTGGGGCAGTGATGGGACGGGCAGGTGGACAATCGGAGAGGGGGTGCAGGGCGGACGTAGAGGGCATCGCTGCAGGAAACGCCTCTCTCCAGGCTCCTGTTCAGGGAGCCCTTGCATGAGGCCCCGCGGGATGAGGGAGGGCTGGGGCCCTGGAAGCTGGGAGGGAGGAATCAAAGGCTTGGAGGGCCAGGGCAAGGAGGAGGGGTTGGTGCTGCTGTTGGAGAGGGGAGGAGAGGGGACAGAAGCTGCAGAGCATTCCCTCATCCCTGCCCCAGACACCCAGTCTGGTGCGGAGGAGCCAGAGAACAGATCTGCTTCTCAGAGGGCCTGACAATGCACAACACAGACTGCCTTCTGCGAGGCCTGTGCAGGAATCTTGTGCCCCAGGGCCTGTCTGGGGCACAGGAAGTCCCCGAAGAGCCCAGAGATCAAAGAGCCGCCTGCCCTGGGCACTGTGTTGGACTGGGGCGGGGCTTCTCCGGAAGCTGCTCCCTGGGGCTGGAGGGGCTGGTGGGGCCCGCCAGCGCCAGCGCAGGCCCTGCAGAGGGGCAGGGATGTCACCTGGGGCTCCTCTCTGTCTTCCAGGAAGGAGCTGACTGCAGAGGCCCGAGAGCTGAAGGGTGAGCTCTATTGCCTGCCCTGCCATGACAAGATGGGCGTCCCCATCTGTGGGGCCTGTCGCCGGCCCATTGAGGGCCGTGTGGTCAACGCACTGGGCAAGCAGTGGCACGTGGAGGTGAGCGAGGCCGGGGGGCGGGGGGGCGCTCACTGTTATATTGGGAGTCTGGCCCTGCAGCGCCTCCACACTCCCACCCCAGGCCATGTGGTTTGCTCCCGGCAGGGACCTTCCTCCTGGGTGCTGCCCCTCCTTGTGCCTGGCCTCCACGGGAGCCAGGAGACCTGAGGGCACAGGCCACGGTCAGGCAGCTGTGCCCACCTTCTTTCCTCCCCGTCCTGGCCTTCTGGAGGATTCCAAAGTCATGAGAAAACCTTGGGGACAGTCTGCCTGAGACACCCCGTGGGATTATGGTTGGCAGAACTGGCTGTGCACAGCCTCCCAGAGACACGGAGGCTGGGCGCACCTGCCGGCTGAGCTCCTCAGGTGTGTCCGCCGGCGTTACCTGGAACATTCACCTCTACGCTGTGGGCTCTAATGGTCTTACAGACCCTTGTTGGAAGGGAGGCTTGTGTTCCCTGATGCCCTGACTAGGTCTGTGTCCCAGAGGCTCTGTCTTGGGTTCTGATGCAGGCCCCGGTCCCTGGCCCCCCCGAGGAGGGCGAACCCCCACACACCATAGGAACTGGAAGATGCCGCTCAGTGACCCGGGGCCTACAGGGGATGCTCATGGGAGGCAGACACATGCAGCCTTCGGTGGGGGGGGCACCCTGCTTATAACAGAGCAGCCCCAGCGGGGAGGGCGCACGGTGCACCAGGCACCTCGCCAGCACCTGACAGCTTGGGCCGAGGTTGCTGAGGTGGGGAGCAGCCCTGGAGGGGATGGGGATGCGTGTCACTGTGCACCAGGGAAGGACTGGGGTCTGCTGACTCATGGGTGGTCCGTGGAGGTGGCAGCCCCACTGCCCAGCGGTGAGGCCGGTGAGGCACCCCATCCCCTGTCTCCCGGGGCGGGGGGCGCTGCTCCAGCCCTGAGCTGCCCTGCCTGTCCCCTCTCAGCACTTTGTCTGCGCCAAGTGTGAGAAGCCATTTCTGGGGCACCGGCACTACGAGAAGAAGGGCCTGGCCTACTGTGAGACCCACTACAACCAGGTAGGGCCCGGGGGGCAGAGCGTGGACGGGCAGGGCCTGCGGAGGCCCAGGGCTGGAGGGCGGCTGTGGGGCCGAGGGGAGCCCTCAGGGAGGTGATGGCGTCAGTGGCCGGAATACTGCAGGCACCCAGCTGGGCAGGAGAGGACGAGGACAGCCCCTCCAGAGCCCATGCTGGGTGTGGAGGCTGGGCTGTGTGCTCAGTGCCATTTGAGACCCTGGCCCAGGCCTGCTGTGGGAACTGAATGGAGGGCTGTGTGAGGTCCTGGGCTCATCGGGGTGGCATATGCTGCCGTCCTTCCCCCTCCTGCCAGTCTGGCAGAGCTGCCCAGTTGCTGTGGTCCAGAAGTCAGGGGGTACGGCTGTGGCACGTCCCTCTCACCGACGCCAGCAGGAGCAACGGGGCCTTCCTGGGAGCAATGCCTCGAGCTGCTGTCCGTCCCGGGGTGGTGATTCTGACGGGCCAGGGGTGCCCTCACCTCGGGCTGAGACCACACCCTGGCAGGAGGGGCCCAGGAGTCTCGGGGGGTGCTTGAGAGCAGCTGTTTGGGGTGGGATGGGGGCCAGGTGGCAGCCTGCCACAAGTTTGACACCTGCTCTGTCCGCAGCTCTTTGGGGACGTCTGCTATAACTGCAGCCATGTGATCGAGGGTGATGGTAAGGCTCCTCTGTCCCTGCCCCCGCCCCCGCCCTCGCGTGCCTGAGGCTGGCCCTCTGGCATGTGGGTCCTGCCGCTGCAGGCCCGGCCGGTCCTGAGCCAGCCTGGGCCTGCTCAGCCTGCCCGCCCCCACCCCCACAGTGGTGTCAGCACTCAACAAGGCCTGGTGCGTGCATTGCTTCTCCTGTTCCACCTGCAACAGCAAGCTCACCCTGAGGTAAGTGGTGCCGGCCTCCTGGGGTTTCCAGGGTGGGCGGAGAGGGACCTGCACTGCCTCCGCCTCCTCCTGGAGCCTGTCACGGGAGCTCAGGTTTGGGTAGGCTGCCCAGGGGCTCCTCATCAGGCTTTCCCTGGGTCCCTGCTGTGGTCAGGCCCTGGGGATGCAGTGGCAGTAAGGGCAGCCCCAGCCCCTCGGAGGCAGATCGAGGGGCCCCCAGGGCAGGGTGAGAGGGGGAGCGATGTGAGCATCCGACACACCAGTGAAGACACTGGGCTCTGAGGAGGGAAGGGCATTCCAGCTCAGGGAACAGCATGTTTGAAGGCAAAGGGGTCAGAACCACAGGAGGTGCAGAATGGCTGGAGCTGTGAGGTGAGGTGGAGCCCAGGTTTCTGAGGACAGCAGGGAGTCGTGGACAGTTCTGGAGTACCAGAAGCTTCTGGGAGGGAAAGGAGGCCTGGAGGCCTGATTCCTTGTCACCCGTGACCCCTGGCCAGAAGCTCACCCTGGCACCTGGACTGCTGTGGGCCAGAGGCCAGGGGAAGCTCCCTGCTCCGCCTCTGCAGGCTGAGTTGGTGGGGCCCGGGGGCTCTCCTGACTGCAGGACCTCCTCCGCAGGAACAAGTTTGTGGAGTTCGACATGAAGCCTGTGTGTAAGAGATGCTATGAGAAGTTCCCGCTGGAGCTGAAGAAGCGGCTGAAGAAGCTGTCAGAACTGGCCGCGCGCAAGGCCCAGCCCAAGTCCGTGGGCCTCAACTCTGCCTGAGCGGCCTCCTGCCCACCCTCCGCCTCCACCCCATCCCTTCCTGCCGGCACCCCCTGCCCTTCGCTGCCTCCACTCCTCATCTCTGCTCCCTGTCTGTGGCCTCCCCCTCCTTCCTTCCCTCTGCCCCTCCCCTCCCATACCTCTTCCGCCCCTCCCCTTCTTTCCCTCCCCCACCTCGCTCCCCTGCTTTCTTTGCTCACCACCCCTTCTTTTGCCCCTAGTCCCTCCTCCCCAGACCTCTCTTCTCTCCTCCCTTGCTGTGGGCTCCTCTCTCTCCTTCTGTGCAGGCATGGGGCAGACGCAGGGCCCTTGAGCCTGTGACGGCCTGTGCCCACAAGCCTTAGCTCCAGGTCCTCCGTGAGTGAATCAGGGCCTGGGGTCACCTGGCCCTGGTCGTGGGCCACCGCTCCCAGCCCTGCTCATCCAGACTTGTCCCATTCCTGCAGGGGCACCCAGCAGCTCACATCCTTCTGTGGGAGCTTGGCCAGCCTCCACCCCATAGTGGTCCCACTGTGCGCACATGGCCCTGGGGAGGCCACAGCCAGGCAGCTGCTCCAGCCCTGTGACCCTGGCCATGAGCAGGGGGGGGCCTCTGGGGAACCACCCTTTGACCCTTGGCCACACACTCACCCAACCAAGTAGGTTGTGCTTAAACTGCCACCGCACCCCACAAATCATCCTCGGAGGGACAAGGACCGCCCCCCCCCGCCATCACTCAGGAAGCCTCCTTCCTGAAATCTGGCCTTGGCCACTCCACCCTGGGCCAGGGGCCACTGTGGCTCCCTGAAGCTCCTCTGTGGTCCCCTCAGCACCTCGGGCTCCCTGCTGCTTACCCGCCCCCCCCTCTGAGGGCACGTGCTGATTCTCTGGGTGTAGCTGACCGGGGGCCAGAAGATAGTGGCCTTCTGACTCACTCTGACCCTCCAGGGCCAGCACAGGAACTGGCGCTTGCATGATGACTGAAGGCTTACTTACACAACCACATGGCCGGCGTGGGTTTTGGCGTGAGAGTGAGCAGGTGAGGCCGCAGCCCCCGTGGACATACTGCTTCAGGGTCGTTTAACGCTTAGAGACATAGACACAGAACAGGACTAGGACCCAGCTCTTGCTGGTAGGGCCAGGCTGCCGTCAGGCCTTGGAGACCAGTCCAGCCAGAAACCTTCAGTCCATGAAGGCTGGCCAGGTGGGTAGGATGGGTAGGATGGAGCCCGCCAGCATGGTGGCGATGAACCCAGGCCACTAAGGCTGTGCGTCTAGCTCTGCTCCCACCTGGGCACAGGCTGGCCTTCGCGTGAAGCCAGCAGCCAGAGAGCAGGCAGGCCTGGCCTGCACCTGCACCAGGCCCTCCTGGGAGCAGTTATGTGTCCCAGTGCCCTGTGGGGGAAGGAGAAAGGTGCGCAAAGGGGCCTCATAGGAAGAGGCGGGAGGGAGGGGGAAAGCAGATGAAGGGAGGAGGGAGAGACCAATGAAGTCATTCACGGAGAGTGGAGTTGTCATCCAGGCATCCCCAGAGAAGTCACAATGCTTTTTGCTTTTTCTGGAAGAGACCTTTTGCTGGCCAGTGCCTCCTAGGCCTCCTGCCCACCTGACCATCCCCCCCACCCCGCCCCACCTTCTCTAACACATTGCACACTGCTTCAGGAATTTTTATTGAACATTCTTGGGGGAGTCCTTTCAGCCATCCACTCATCAACCTGGAGGCCTGACACTCCCGGCCCCGCCCTGGGCTCCCCACTTTGGCCTCCATGGTCAGCCCCTCAGGAGAGGAGGCCTACCTGGTGGGCTGAGGGATGTGGGTGTGTTCTGGAGAGAGGGCAGTGTGAAAGGCTGCCTGCAGAGGGCAGGCTCTGGGCCAAGAAGAGGGCCTTAGGGAAGTGCCACCAGGACCCCCGATTGGGAAGGGTGAGTGAGTGGGCAGGCCAGCTCCCGGTGCTAAGGATCGGCCTGGGCTGGGGCCTGGGAGCCCCGCTGCTTGTTCATGGTGCTCAGGAGCTGCTGCACGTACGAGGTCAGCAGGTCATCCATCTTGTAGCCCTGGACAGGGGAAGGGTGGGGTTGGAGGCTGTGAGGGGCAGTGGCGGTGCCCTGCTTCTGCCTCAAGGACACACTGGACAGGGAGGTGAAGAGGCGAGCAGGGCTCCTGCTACTGAGAACAGTCCTCCTCCCTCCTCAGAGCGGCCCAGGACCACAGGGGGCCCGCACCAGAGCTTGCCACCACAGTCCCTGGATGACACTCCCAGCCTTTTTCTTGCTGCTTCTCCTTCCCAGACTCTGCTGGCCCGGCCTGGCCTAGTCCCCCCCGGGCACAGGAAGCCTGGCCCTCATCGTGAGCCACTTCCCTGGTGGCAGTCTGGGGTCAGGGTTAGGGAAACGTAGTCCCTGGTGCCTCTGTGTGCTGTGTGTCTGGGTTGGGCGAAGGGACCTGGGATGCCCAGGAGGCCCCCAGGGCTGGGGCTCACCAGAGAGGTCTCACACAGCAAGCGGCTGCCCCGGGCCAGGCTCCCCAGCGCCATGTGGAAGTAGGTGCTACCACTGCTCCAGCTGGAGATCTTGGTGAAGGGGTAGGTGGTGAGCAGTTCCTGGGGGGCAGAGTGGGCAGGGCGGGTAGGACCCAGCTGAAGCCCAGGGGGCCCTGCTGCTCAGGGGTCCTCCAGAGCCCACGGGGCCGTGTGAGCGGGGGACAGAAGGGCAGGGGTGTACGACCTGTGTGGGGGTATGGGACCCTGGCAGCTTCCCCAGCCCTGCCCGGGCCCTGCTGCTACCTTGGTCTTGGGGTGGATAAGCAGAACCCCGTGCCGGTTGATGGCGATGAGGATGATGTCCGGGTAGGAGGGCTCCGAGGTTTGCTGGGGAGGAGGGCACCGTGGTCATAGCCCAGCCAAGGAGCCCAGGGGGCCACCTCCCTGAGGCACACACATGCACACGCATGCACACGTGCTCCTTCCAAACCAGGTGGCCAGGCCCACCCCTAGATGTGAGTTGAAAGAGGAGCTGGGGCCGCTGGGGCCAGAGCCGGGTGAAGCCTACCTTCACCTTGAAGAAGGCAGACCCAAACGTGGGCCACCGGCAGATCCACTTGAGGAAGGCCACTTTGGCCTCCTGTACTGTCTTGTCCTTGTGCTTGTCATAGGCCAGAAGGATGTTCTGGGGGAGGTAAGGGCCAGTGAGGGCCTGAGTGGGGGCCAGGGCCTGAGCAGGCCCTCCACACAGGATCCCTGAGGCCCCAGTCCAAAGTAGCACCTGTGTGCCTGTGGCTGGTCTGGAGGCCACTGAGAGCCATGTGTGTCCTCTGCACACAGAGAACCCATCTCTGAGGTGCTGTGGACAGCATGGGGAAGGGCTGACACTCGCAGACGCAGCATACCCTCCATGCCCAGAATGTGCTCATCTTACCCAGGTGGGGCCCAGCCCCCATGTACCCAGGGCCCCCTCCCCAGCCGCATCAAGGACCTTTCTCCATTCCTCCGAGGACATTAGACGTGTGAGGTTCTCAGGCACAAGTTCCTGCAGGATCTTGGGGATACTAGCTAGCTGGGACCGGTCATTGTCAAACTGGGCCTTGTAGATGAGGCCTGCCAGGTGGACAGCATCCTCCCGTGCACACTTGTGGAACCCACGGAGGTACTTGGGCAGCTCCTGAGTGGTGGACACGGTGGCTTCAGGCAGTGGCCCCCGACCCTTCGTGCTCAAGTGGCAGAGGTGTTAGCTCACCCCCAGCCAGGGGGCAGAGGGGAGGGTTTCTGGCAGGTCAGGGCAGGGCTCCCGGACGTCTCACCGTGGAGTGATGGCCGTCCCTCCCCTGTGCAGTCGGGACCCTCCGCTCCCCCCGCCCCTTCCCAGCAATCACACTGCAGCCACTGGTACAGTCACTGTCCCCAAAGGCTGTCCCTCTGCTCCTGGCTTCAGAACCCTCAGGGGCTCAGCCCGCACACCACATGGGGCCTCAAGGGCCTCCAGAAGCCCCTGGAGGTGGGGGGGGTTGCCCCGGAGCAAGGCAGCTGCTGACCTGCTGCATCCTCTACCACCTCTCAGGGCAGGTGTGGGATGGAGTGAAGGCAGACCCAAATACCCCCCAGGAGGGAGCCTGCCCGGGTACCTGGTGGTAATGAAGTATGGTGTCTGCATTTACGTCCTTCCCCGGGGTCACGTTGAGCCACAGTTTCCGCATGAAGTACACCTGGTAGGGGAGCACCACGGGGGCCCCTGGGCAGGGGGGGCAGTGAGCACCAAGGCTGTCCTCTGGCCCCGCAGATGCTTGGACCTGTGCCCCCCTCCCCCTCTTGTGGCCAGGGCATTCTGCAACCCCCGTCGGAACACAGGGCCTGCAGCACCCGCGCCT